TATATGACATTTGAAATAAACAAATTTTTCAAATTAATTTTACAATATTTTTCAAAATAGTTCAAATGTTATCGAAATAATTCAAATTTTATTAAAATAATCCTTGTTTTTTCAAAGTAATTCTACAATGTTTTTCAAAATAGTTAAAATTTTATACAAATAAACCAATTTTTCAATGATTATCAAAATAGTTCAAATTTTTATCAATATAAACCAATTTTTCAAAGTAATTTTACAATGATTTTCAAAATAGTTCAAATTTTATCAAAATAATCCAAATTTTCAAAGTAATTTTACAATGTTTTTCAAAATAGTTCAAATTTTATGCAAATAATTCAAATTTTATAAAAATTATCCATTTTTTTTTTCAATGTTACAATGTTTTTCAAAATAGTTCAATTTTTTATCAAAATAAACCAATTTTACAATGATTTTCAAAATAGTTCAAAAGTTATCTATATAGTAATTCTACAATGATTTTCAAAATAGTTCAAATTTTATACAAATAAACCAATTTTTCAAAGTAATTTTACAATGATTTTCAAAATAGTTCAAATTTTATACAAATAAACCAATTTTTCTCAGTAATTTTACAATTATTATCAAAATAGTTTAAATTTTATCTAAATAATTCAAATTTTTATCAAAATAATTCAAATTTTCAAAGTAATTTCACAATGATTTTCAAAATAGTTCAAATTGTCATCAATTTTGAGGTTGACATTGTCAATTCTATTTTCATTCAAATGTTTCTACGTAACACAAATTTGAATTATTTCCATTACTAATGGATGAAATTTCATCTAGAAATGACATTTCATCCATTAATTGCAGAATTCTGTAAACATTTTTCAGTCATTGTTTATTAAATTAAATTCGTCGTCGTATCAATTGTTGTCCAATGACAATGTCAAAGTGACAGAAGACCGGCTCGCGTTTTGTTTCTCTTTGCACATTTGTTTGTTTATCAGCGCCAACTCGAATATCGAGACAGGATTATGTTTCGAAACAGGTATCTTCGATTTCAATTAAGACCCGATCCGTTTATTTTCCATAGACTGCTTGCACAATTACCAAGCAGATTTGTAAAGTTTTATTCTTCATTTACACTTAATTGAAAAAAAAAACTATTGTTATTGAAATTTTAAAACTTTTTTTTAAACAGTTGAAATTATTGATTAAATTCTAAAAACTAAGTATTAAAGGAAAAGTTGTATGAAGTTTGCACAAGAACGGTTTTTTTTTCATTCTTTCTTTCTTTGTCAATTTTAGCGTTCATAATTGAATTGCGCTCAAAGAGATTCCCATAACTCTCGCCGCAATTGCGATCGCAGGAATCCATGGAAGAAAACATAAATGAATGAAGAAAAAGAGAAGAGAAGCTAAATAAAACAAAACGCGAGAGTTTTACGTAATCTCGCATTGTTCCGCCAGCTGGGATCTTTCTGTTGCGTCACTCGATCGAACCCGTATGCAGATCTACTGGAAAATCGTAGTCAACTGATGCAATTTTTGTTTTAACTTAATTCAATTATTTAATAATTGAGTTTCGAATGAGATTTTTTGTTCCTTTTTCTATTGAAATGTAAAAAATGTGTCGAAAGGTGACCGCTCCAATTCGGAAAAGAAAGGCTTTCTCTGAACGGTTCTTTGTCTCATCAACTGTTTACTAAACTGATTACTAAATAATCATACAACTAGAATTAGCTTCGATTTGAACTATGAATGAGTGATTGGAAACTTAATGAAAACGTATGTAGATAATGGTGAAGCATGATGCGTTATTGTTGTTCTTTGTTTTGCGGATTCGTAACGTTTCCAAGAGAAGAAATGAGTCCGCGAAGTCTGCGTGCCGCTCGAATGCGGTCACTGTTCAATGAGTGATTCAGATTTTCAAATGATTCAGTCTTTTTTGTTTGTTTTCTTCTTCAATTGAATCAATTTTTTTGTTAATGAATGAAACGATTTTCAGATTTTGGAATTATTGAGATTTCATTGTTAAAGCAAATTTTCACATTCAATTCAACCTTTTTTTTTCAAAATAGTTCAAATTTTATCCTAATAATTCAATTTTTAATCAAAATAATCCATTTTTTTCAAAATTTTACTACGATTTTCAAAATAGTTCAAATTTTTTATCCAAATCATTCAAAATTTATCAAAATAATCCATTTTTTTCAAATTTTACAATGATTTTCAAAATAGTTAGCAATAATTTTATTCAAATAATTCAAATTATTGGTAAGATTGAAATTTTCCACTTACCTTAAAATGAAATTAATTCCATTATAACAAAAAATCGACACTGGAAATAATAATTATTAAAATAATAATTATTATTATACAAACAACTTAAGAAACTCACATCCAACAGCGACGACGACTTTCTTGCGAATTCCGCAACTGTTGCGTAACCGCGAGTATAGTCCACAAAAACACGTTTTTTCTTAATTTTAAGAAGATTGAATCTAATAAGAAAGACAGAAAATACAAAGAAGTAGCGAAATCCTTGAAGACGAGCATATTTTTATATAAAAAAAAACAAAACGGAAGGTTCAAAGTTCGCGTTTTGGAAAAGAGCAAAACAAGATTACCTTTGGACACGAGAAGATTCTTGTTAATAAAGAAAAAGTGGTATAAATGAAGTAGAATGAGGCGCGTTCTTCGACGAAACCTTGATTCACAAGTAATAATTATACGCTGTAGCGAATAAAATATTACACATTAATTTTTCAACACGCCGTAAATGGAATTAGTGAAGACAAAAAAAAAGCTATAATATTCTACTAGCTAGTTTTTTTCTTGTAAATCCTTGATCTCCATTTAGTATGATTTATATCTCTTCATTACATTCAGTTTTAGCATGAAGTATAGTTGCAAATACAAAAATTTTGAATAAAGTATGATCAAATAATGATTACTAGAAATAAATGAAATAAACAGGATTTAGAACATCCGGAGAATGTAGCAGATTGTATTACTAATAACAATATGAATCAGTGTTTATTGTTGATAATTACTACGTCTATTATACTAATAACATAGTCGAATTTAGTTACATAACTTCTTCGAAATGAATCCCTCGAGGCAACCAATCAAGAGACGAAGAATGAAAAAAAAGAACAACAATTACAGCATTCTTGGATATCAGCGCGTTTTTTTCGTAAATATCCTCATGACAAATGGGTCACAGCAGCGACCACAATGCGTGCGTTTCGATTGCGCAATGTCAGTGGACCAAGGTGCCTTCGATTCTGAACAGGTTTCACTGCATCACCAACAAGTGGACACACCTCGAATACGCTAAGACATCAACCATTCTTCTCCGTCTTGATCAACATCATTCTCCTCCGACGCATTGAACCTCTACTCTAAGAAGGAAAGATGATACCTTCTTCTAACTCCTCTGGCCTCGATCGCTACGGCTACATGCACACATTTCATCCTTCACACGCACCCGCTCACATACATACCACATCCAAGTGAGCTACCGTCTTCGGAATGTTAATGGTCGTATCGTTCGCAATTCGCATGTATCACAAGTTCATCATAATGAGCAATAAAAAAAAACAAATTCATATAGAAAAGATGAGTAATACAGTTTAGATCTGCATACTAAAACTAAAATCGAATATTAATTATCATTCTATGTTATTCTAATTTCACAAATTGTATTTGTTCCCTCCTTTTACCTCAATTTTCTATTCATAATAGTGTAAATTATTTTTAAAATAATTCAAATTTTATCCAAATAATTCAAATTTTTATGAAAATAAACCAATTTTTTCAAATTTTACAATGTTTTTCAAAATAGTTCAAATTTTATCTAAATAATTCAAATTTTCAAAGTAATTTCACAATGATTTTCAAAATTGTTCAAATTTTATCAAAATAAACCAAATTTTCAAAGTAATTTTACAATGTTTTTCAAAATAGTTCAAATTTTATCCAAATGATTCAAATTTTTATGAAAATAAACCAATTTTTTCAAATTTTACAATGTTTTTCAAAATTGTTCAAATTTTATCTAAATAATTCAAATTTTTATCAAAATAATTCAAATTTTCAAAGAAATTTCACAATGATTTTCAAAATTGTTCAAATTTTATCCAACTGACTCAAATTTTATCAAAATAAACCAAATTTTCAAAGTAATTTTACAATGATTTTCAAAATAGTTCAAATTTTATCCAAATAATTCAAATTTTTATAAAAATAAACCATTTTTTTCAAATTTTACAATGATTACCACATCCAAGTGAGCTACTGTCTTCGGAATGTTAATGGTCGTATCGTTCGCAATTCGCATGTATCACAAGTTCATCATAATGAGCAATAAAAAATATCATATAGAAAAGATGAGTAATACAGTTTAGATCTGCATACTAAAACTAAAATCGAATATTTATTATCATTCTATGTTATTCTAATTTCACATTGATATACGGATTTGCTGATTATAATTAAGAATCCATCTTCAAGTCTCGCTTCAATTCAAACAACAAATTGTTTGTATTCTCTCCTTTTACCTCAATTTTCTATTCATAATAGTGCAAATTACGCTACGCGCGCTTCCCACTACATTCGAATCGCGACTTTCCACTGAATAATATTCATCAAACTAATGTCGACCCAATTCCCATATCATTCTCTATTATTTCTTTCATTCTAAAATACAACTCTTGCACAAATAACTCGAAAATCATATAGGCTCTGCAAATAAAAGCGCATCGCGTTTCGAAACTGTGATTGTTTCGAAGAAGCTCTACGGGTTTCATTTGTTAACGTTGAGAAACAAGAGTGAATCGAGTCAGTGTAGGAAATTGTTTTTTGTTGTTGTTGACTGACGAGAGAAGAAAAATTGACTTTTGTAACGTAATTGTACGAAGTTTCGTTATTTTTATGGTTCATATTCATTGGGAGAAGCTGCGAGTTTCATTTGTTAATGTTGAGAAATAATAGTGAATCGAGTTGGCTATAACATCAGTTTATTTTTGTTTTCCTTTTGGCAACTGACAGACCTGAAAAATTTGCGAACGATGCAATTTTCTGATTCTCGATTCGACAACAAACACGAAACGTTTCATCGTTTCAAGTGTAAGTGTTTATTCTTAAGTTCATCTCGCACTCAAGTCATATGTTTACAAATGTAATTATCACAATATTTAGAGGTTACATTTGACGCGTAAATAGATATTATTTCATTTGTTAATTTTGCTTTTTTGTTTCTTTCTGTTACAGGGTTGGTAGCAGCGCTAGCAACGTTATGCATAATCTTTGGAGTATTAGTGGCCATATTTTTCACAAGCTGGTTTAATTTAATTATAAATTCAGTAAGTAATTATTTTTCATTTTATTATTTACATTAAATCATCATATTTGATTCGCTCCCATTATTTTCCCATTATGTATAATAATAAAAGAAAAACACAACATCTTTTTGATGCGAATAGATACGAGAAGCAATCACCTTCGGCGCACAGTTCAAAAACCAATTGACACGAATTATCCTCTCTCACGCTGGAAATACCACAATCAGCATTTGCGAAATCCATTTCCATTTTTCCTCTCCATTATTTACACTTAACTATATAGCATGACGCACGACAGTTACTACACACAACGTACTGTTGCTACAGAAGCTATATGATTGCTGTTTTGTTGCTATGGACGCCATATGGTTGCTAAGGACTCTGCTTTATTGCTATGGACTCTTTTTATACTTATTTTAAAATACCAACTAATATATAACAATTTCATGGTTATCATATTATATAAATAAAATAGGATCAGTAACCTTCAGCGCAAAAGTTCACAACCAATTGACACGAATTATCTTGTATGAAATTTCCACAACGTGCACTTCCTATTTTTTTTCTTCTTCTTCTCTATTATTTATGCACGTTCCATGAACCGCAGAAGACAATCAGAGCAGAAAACTGTCTTCGTTCCACACAGAAGTGCATTTCCTCTCATCTCATCTCCTTCTCTCTTTGGCATTTCTACGACGCATATTATGGTTGTCATCCGTTCCTCGGCGTCCACACACACACACACAAAAAAAAGAAGGAAATTTATAGCGAAACGCGTTCAATTAACATTGGCTGCATTCCATTTCCTAGATGCATTCATAATAGAACAAACAAAGAAAAACATAGTAAGAAAAATTCAACGCATTACTTCTAATCGCATTCTCCGCAATTGCAATTTTTATCGACGATACAAATGTTTTCAAAGACATAATTCAAATACTCAATTGTTTTATTTTTATTTTCAGTCATGGTATTCGATAACATTCATTGTTTTCTATCATTTCGTATGATTATAACTATATTAACTAGATACGTCTTTTAATTGCAACAATTATTGCTACAGTTGCTATAGACGCCATTTGGTTGCTAAGGACGCCAAGCGGTTGCTATAGACACAATTTGGTTGCTAAGGACGCGAAAGCGGTTGCTATAGACGCCATTTGGTTGTTAAGGACATCAAGCGGTTGCTATAAACGCGTTCAATTAACATTGGCTGCATTCCATTTTCTAGATGCATTCATAATCGAACAAACAAAGAAAAACATACTAACGAAATTTCAACGCATTACTTCTAATCGCATTCCCCGTTTAGTAATTACACAATTGCAATTTTTATCGGCGAAACAAGTGTTTTCAAAGACATAATTCAAATACTCAATTGTTTTTTTTTCAGTCATGGCATTCGATAACATTCATTGTTTTCTATCATTTCGTATGATTATAACTATATTAACTAGATACGTCTTTTAATTGCATAGATATAACAAGTAGCAATAATTGTTACTATAAACGCCATTTGGTTGCTAAGGACGCCAAGCGGTTGCTAAGGACACCAAGCGGTTACTATAGACGCCATTTGGTTGCTAAGGACGCCAAGCGGTTACTATAGACATCATTTGGTTGCTAAGGACGCCAAGCGGTTGCTATAGACGCCATTTGGTTGCTAAGCGGTTGCTACAATTTATCATTTAAATTAAAAATAGAAATATTTAATGACTTATGGACATTGGATGTTGTTAATAGTGTTACGTAGTCAAGTATTTCTTCTTCCTTGAATGATTTAAGAACGTTAATAATGAGCGTTGTTCTTGCTGAATTCTATGGGGCAAAGTGAAAATAGGAATTGAATTCGCGCCGTTGCGCAATGCCATCGCTCTCTGAATATTATTATTAATATTATGCATGCGTCTGGGATCCGTGTGAAAGATGCATGCACAATAGATTTACGTTTCAAATTAATTTCAGTCCCTCTCACTCACACTACCTTCATCTCTCGCTGGAAAACGACGATTCTCGAGTACGTGACAATGAATTATCGTTGCTCATAACCAATAATAATGATAAAAAAAAATAAAATGTGCATACACGTGAAGTGGAAATTCGAGGCACTTCGGTATGGATTAAAATGAGTCGTCTCGGTGAAAGTGCAACTGTTATTATTATTTATTCATCGCTTCGCAAAGCGAAAATGAACAAAGTCCTTCTTTTTTTTGTTTCGTTTCATGTACATGTAATATATTGACAGTGATCAACGACGTGTGAGGAAATTATTAACACTTTCATTCTCACAATTAACATATTGATACAGTGACAAAATTTATGTTTTAAATTTAAGCTCAACTATTATACTGACACATCAAAATATTTGACAAGTGACAGTTGACATATCGATGATAATATGTCAAAATTTAAAGGTTAAATGTTGTAATGTTTTACAATGACAAGTGACATTTCACATAGTTTTAATGATGAATTAACCTATATTTGAATATTTTTGTAATGACAAGTGACATTTGACAATCAATTCGGAAATGGAAAGTGGCTGAAGAAATGTTTAATTGAATTTATTAGTAATTATGGGGAAAATTGTTTAAAGTTTACAGATCGAAAGCCGTGTGTGTGTGTGGTATGCTTGAATTAGTGCGGATCTGCTCTATAAAGCGCGCAGCAAACATTAACGACTCGAATGCGCATTGTTGTTTGAAGTCGGAGAAAGCCTTTTTCCCGAGTAAACATTTATTCCGGTAATTGTCGCTAATCACTGGAATAATGCGGTCCGAAAGGAAGTCATCTTCGGTGGAAACAAAAGCGACGCAATTAGCGTGCAGCTATCATTACCAGAAAACTACCTGTTATTATACTCAATCCAATAAGTAATTTACTTCTCAAACGAACCATTAAAAATCATACAATACTATATACTTTTTTTTTTGTGATTGTAGCTTTAAAATGTTAAATTATTTTCTCTCTCTTTTCTTTTCAGCAAGTAATTTTAAGGGATGGAACGCAGACTTTCGGCTGGTGGTCGAAGCCACCGGTCACGCCGATGATCAAAGTCTACATTTACAATGTGACGAACGCCGACGAGTTCCTCACCAACGGATCGAAACCGATCGTCGATGAGCTCGGTCCGTACGTTTACACGTGAGTATCGACGAAATTCTTTCTGAATGAGAACGGTTTTGTTAAATAATCGCGGACGGTTTTTTTTTTGCACGGTGAAAGTGCACGCGTCCGAAGCCCATATATTCCCGTTACGTAATGGAAATGAAAGTGAACCGACGACTGTGAGAGCCGGCGCGGCGCATACGTTTCCATGACGACGCGCGGAGAAAGTGCCCCACACTGAAACGTGGGGGGGTGGGAAGCAGAAGCATTTCGTGTGTGACGTAAAGACACGCTGCTCGCTCGTCGCATGAATGAAAATTTTGCAAAGTTTGCATTTCCTATTATGAAGGAAAAAGAAAACGTTCCAACTTGATAAACTATCACCTAAGTACTATACAAATAATAATATATGCTTTAAATTCATTAAAGTGATATGTACATAATCTTGACTCAAAAATACTACCACCTAAATTAGTTTCAATTGATAATAAAGTATTTTTAACCACCTATGAGTCTTATAATTAAAAATACAATAATTAAACTTATAAACATGACAGATCTATAATCTTGATTCAAAAACACAACCAAAACTTGATGATGATAGTAAAAAAGAAAATGTGTTAATTTCTTGCAGTGAAAAATGGGAGAAGAAAAACATCAGGTTCCACGACAACGGCACGCTGACCTTCAACCAGGAGAAAATCTACGTGTTCGATGAATCACTTTCTGCCGGCTTCGAGGAGGATGTGGTGGTCGTGCCCAACATCCCTATGCTGGTAAGAATCACCGACAGAAATGGGAAAAACGCTTCTCGCATACAAATTGCACGTTCGTTTCCACAATTGTATTCAATTCGCAGAGCGCCACCTCTCAATCGAAACACGCAGCTAAATTCCTGCGACTCGCCATGGCCAGCATCATGGACATCCTGAAGATCAAACCATTCGTCGAAGTCTCCGTGGGTCAATTGCTTTGGGGTTACGAAGATCCTCTGCTGAAGCTCGCCAAAGACGTGGTTCCCAAAGAACAGAAGTTGCCTTACGAAGAGTTCGGACTCATGTACAACGTGAGTTAACAAAACTTTATTAATCTAATTATTTGATTTTAAATTAATTGATTTTCTAGAAAAATGGTACATCCAAAGATAACGTGACGATGTTCACCGGAGCTTCAGATATCACCAAGTACGGTCTAGTGGACAGAGTTAACGGGATTGCGAAGTTACCTCACTACTTGAACGACGAATGCAACAGTTTGATGGGTTCCGATGGATCAGTTTTTCCTCCGCACATCACCAAGAACACCACTTTGCATATCTACGATAAAGATCTTTGCAGGCTTTTACCACTCAAGTGAGTTACCAAAAGTTGTTGTATGACAAAAGTTACATTTCGTTGTCTTTTGAATAGGTTTGAAAAGGAAGTTACTGTGGCTGGAAACGTGCCCGGCTACAGATTCACACCTGCTGATGACGTCTTCGCCAGTCCAGATGTTAACCCAATGAACAAATGTTACTGTCCTCATGGTCCACCGTGTGCACCATCCGGATTCTTCAACGTTTCCCTCTGCCAATACGGTAAGACCAACAATAGATTTCATCAAGTATTTGTTAACTACACTGACTTGAAACACAATTTCTTTCTACCTTGAAAATCTTGACTTGAAAACACTACCACCTATATTGATTATAATTGAGAATCATACAATATTTTATTAACTTATATTCATTTTACAGATTCACCAGTGCTGCTGTCTTTCCCACATTTCTACATGGCCAACGACAGCTACAGGACCGCATTCGAGGGTATTTCGCCCCCAGATCCAGAGAAGCACAAGTTCTACATGGATGTACAACCTGTAAGTTTTTCAAAAAAAATCTTTCTTAAATCGTTATTTCATAGTATTTCTTGATGGTTTCAGTTGATGGGAGCCGGTCTCTCTGCAAAGGGCAGGATCCAAATCAATCTGGCCGTGTCCCAAGTGACAGATATCAAACAGGTGGCGTCCTTCCCGGACATCATCTTCCCGATCATCTGGTTCGAAGATGTAAGCTGAAATTCAATGAATTCTATCAACACTGATTGTTGTATATTTGTAGGGAATTGATAGTCTTCCTGAAGAGATGACAAGTTTGATGGCGTTAGCGACGAGCGTGCCTCCAGTAGCCAGGGCCGTACTCACCGGAATCCTCCTGGTCATAGGTCTTCTGATGCTCGTTGTCGCCATCTGGCGTTTGGTGCGAGGAGCAAATCGTCTCAGCTCTCTGCATCTGGCGACCGGACACGTCGGACCATTGCAAACCAAAGATATGCCCATGGCCAACGTGCCCAGACATTAGAGAACGAAAAACCGACGATAATTTCTATTCCATCGAGTGTGTCTCTATTATTCATTTGTTTTGATTTCCTTTTCAATCGGTTTGTTTATAGTACGCAAAGTAAAAGGAAAAGTTATTATTAAACGAAATATTCCATAAGTTTAACGAGTGATTTATAATATTTTATACATAAATTGATATTTATAAAAGAAAGAAAAATTGTTAAGTAAAATACGAGTGATTTTAGTCAAGGTTCTTAAGGTTAATCCGTTGAAATCATTGTTGGTTAGATCTTAAAGTTTAATTCTATATGCATACCGTTTTCCGCCCCCACACTGTCGTAACAGATAGTTAAATTTAAGTTTCATCAAAAATTGATGTGGAAATTTCGAAGTGCCTTGCAGCGATGTACAATGTAAATTATAACTGTCTTCTTCATCTCAAATTCGCGTCTAATTATTAGAATTTTTACTTTCCCCTTCGTAATTTTTAATTAATTACTATTTGTACTTAAGTATATTATATTGATTATTTTTATTTTTTCGTAAGGTTGTAAGTATTTTATATTTGTACAGATTATGTTTGTAAATGGATGAAATTTGAAATAAAATTGTTTATTTGTTTTTGGTTAAAATGAAAATGCATTTAATTTTTCTTTAACAAACATTGTATGAAGATTTAGCATTTTGGACAATATCGATTTTTGGTTATGAAAACTAGAAATCTTGATAATTTAAGATAGATAATAGACATTTTGAAGTTTAAAGATTTATGGTTACGAAAACATGAAATTTTTGATAATGGAAACTTCGAATCTTAAAATTTGACATTTTGACAATATCGATTTTTGGTTATGAAAACTAGGAATCTTGATAATGTAAGTTAGATAATAGACATTTTGAAGTTTAAAGATTTATGGTTATGAAAACTTGAAATTTTTGGTAATGGAAACTTCGATTTTTGAAATTTGACAATTGACATTTTGATCATCACGATTTTTAATAGCGAAAACTTTGAATCTTGAAATTTGACATTTTGACAATATCGATTTTTGGTTATGAAAACTACGAATCTTGATAATGTAAGATAGATAATAGACATTTTGGAGTTTAAAGATTTATGGTTATGAAAACATGAAATTTTTGGTAATGGAAACTTTGATTCTTGAAATTTTACAGTTGACATTTTGATCATCACGATTTTTAATAGCGAAAACTTCGAATCTTGACATTTGACATTTTGACAATATCGATTTTTGGTTATGAAAACTAGGAATCTTGATAATGTAAGATAGATAATAGACATTTTGAAGTTTAAAAATTTATGGTTATGAAAACATGAAATTTTTGGTAATGGAAACTTTGAATCTTGATATTTGACAGTTGACATTTTGATCATCACGATTTTTAATAGCGAAAACTTCAAATCTTGAAATTTGATCAAAATATCTACAAGATTTTTTTTAAATATAGAAACTTGACAATTCACATTTTAATCTTCAAGATGTTTGATAATGAAAACTTTAAATTTTGAAAACTCACGATTGTCTAGACATTTTGAATCTGAAAGATCTTCAGAAAAATGTTCTGTAAACCTTAATAAATTTGTACCTTAATATCATAAAAACTTAAAGTCTTACAGATTGAAGGTTTACAGTTGCTGCTTTGAGAACTTGAAATTTTTAAGACTAAATGTAGAATATAGATATATTTCTATTTTCTTAAGAATTTCAAATCTTGAAGCTTCAAGATTTGAAATTCTTAAATACTATTAATTACTATTAAATAATAATTAAATACTATTTTTTTAACTTTTTCATCTTCAGCTTTCAATCTTCGGTACAATCTAATACTTTGGAGCTTAAAGATCTTTATTCTATAAAATTTTGAACATTAAAGGCAAAATCTAATACTTTAAATACTTTGAAGATTTTGACCATTGAAGAATGAACTAATGTATTTTGGAACTTACAATTTTGAAAACTTGAAAGATTTTAAAGTTCTAAATTTAGAACTTGAATTTGCTGTTCAAGTTTTGGAATCCAAAATTGCTGAAAGGATTTGTAAAAGGTAAGTGAAAAAGATCATTGTGTGTGTTTTTTTTTTATAAAAATACATTTATTTGTCACCGTATTTAGCAAAAATACAAAAATAAAACATATGTAATACATAATTATAATAATAATAATAAAACGTAATAATAATAAATTGCACACAAATATATACAGATAGTATAAAAAAAAAATGTTAAAGATTTGAAGAAAACGCAAGAAGTGGGTGTTGTTGTTTTGTTTCTTTGTTTTTTCTCTTCGATTGTGAAGAGAGAAAAGCAAAAAAAGCAAATGGGTGTGAAAAAATAGAGAAAAGGTGTGGAAGTAGGCGATGATCTATATTTGATGGATGGTTGTCATCGCCGTTGTTTATATTTTTTTTTAAATTTTTAAGGGCAGCCGCCCTGATCGGAGACCTCACTTAAGTGGAATATATGAATGATACTGGTGGTAAATAATATTATAATAGTGATGGTGGTTGTTGTTGCTGTTGCTGGTGTTGTTGGGTCTTCTTCGAATGAGCGGCCGATGATGCCATTGGATCGGTGACTTAATAAGGTCCGGACTTGCCGGGGGGCCCGTAGTTACCGGAGATGCCACCGCCTCCTCCGATTCCTAAACAATAAAGATATAAGTAAAGACGTGATTGAGAATTCGAAGCTGTGGTTCGTCCAAGTTTCTCTTCTTCGAGTTTTGAAGAAGGAATGAAATTAAAAAAATATAAAAAAAGAGAGTGGAGAAAATAGAAGAAAAAAAAAAAGTGAAAATCTTCTGCTTAGAGAAAAGCGTGAAAGGAAATGAGTGTTTCTAATTATGTTCGTTTGTTCTGTATCGTTCATTTGTTTGTTCGTTTGAATTACCTCCGCCTCCTCCGATGATGCCGCCGATACCACCTCCGCCGATGCCTCCGATTCCTTTTGTTGATGTAAAGAGTATATAGAATAGATAGATAAGGAGAAGAAATAAGAGATTGTTGAAAAGAATTGAGATTGTGCAATTGAGATTGCTTTTGTTCGTGACTTACCGCCTCCGATTCCACCGCCTCCGCCGATTCCACCGCCGATGCCGC